CGCATATTCTCTGTTCTAATATCGGGTTCAGTTCGAAAAATTGAATGTAATTGACGTTAAAGATACAAATATTACGAATTTAGATTTTTTATGTACAACAAAAGGAAGAAATAATAATGAAATAGCCGGCCTTTTTCCAGCATTGAGAATTTACTTATTCGCCCGAGCATGCTTTTTTGTAGATAACACCTTCTTTCAAAATAACGTTGTTCAATGTTACATTCACGTAAACGTCAGAACAGGACCAATTAGTATTGATTTTACATGGGTTGCATAGGTGATAGGTTCGCTAACAATTAAACAAACGAAATAACGCATTCACCTTCTATAAGTATAGGCTAGCGCTGCGCTACAAAGCAACAACAGTAACGAGAACATGTTAATTGGACATGTTCGTATATTATGCTGGATGGCTGAACGCCAAAGCGGGACTTTTGGCTGACTTGTCGGGGCGGGACAAGACGCTAAAAGCGGGTCGTATGGTAGGCCTAGGCTAGGGCTAAGCCACAACTGAATGTTTCCCCCCAATTTCGAATATCTCGTTAAATTGTATATCTCAAGATATTCGTTACCCATATTTTGAATATCAATGTGTTGCTAGCGTTTACTAAGCTTACTCTTCTCATTCTGATCAAACAAAGTCCAAGTGTGTGATCCAAATTCAAGTCCAATGAAGTGGTGTTAGACTATCATAGGAGAATTGCACTAAACTTATTCAGTAACTTGCTTTTCTCAGTTTTTATAACCTGATATCCAAGCAATAAACCCATCTACTAGTTCGTAATGTCTTTGCTCACTTTGCCTATCCTACAATCCAGTCTGAATTTCGTGGCAAGTGTACCCCTAGTTGCTAGCGCTACATGAAAATGCACGCGAGAAAGTCTAGCTCATGATTAATGATTTTCTCTCTTCAGATGCCGCTTACACAGGTAATCTACTGTTAGATAATTTTAGCTTAGTTAATCACATCGTTCGCGAGAACTTTGATTACTAAACTAAAAGCTCCTCGGAAGACAAAATGTCAATTAACTCAAACTATTTTTTGGAAACAGAATTAAAAACTGACAAATAGCAGGCGAAACTATGAAAACGAGGCCTGCGTGAACATCTGTCCGACTTGATTTTGACTGGTTGTGGTTAAGGGGAAATCTAAAGGTTGGGTAGCTAAGCTTGCTATCGTTGCACACTAAATGCCGTTATTGTATTTCATATGATTTTAATAATAGACATAAAAAAGCCAAACGGAAATTCTGACGGCAAACGTGTTTCAAACAAGAGAGCTATGCTCAAATATATGGACACGTAGAGTCACATAATTTTGATGACGTCATAGCGAAAAAAAAAGTAATAGCCTTCTGGAGAAAATTTTTATCTTTAACCACTAAAAATTTCAAAGCAATTGGTCCAGTATTCGAAGAGAAAAGCGACTTTTTAAAAACGTGTCAAGCGGTACTGAGTTAGCAGTCAGGCAGCATCTTACCTGTACACTGTAGGCCATATACGGTAATTGATCACAGAACAGTTGTTCCCTTGTTCCCAATTTGTGAAATATGGCCAATACGTCAACTCTGTGTGTGATTGTCACACTTGGAACAGTATCTAATGACCCGTGACATTATCGGGGTCACATAGGTATAGATAAGATTGATCGTTGCAATGATTAACATGTTGTCAATTTTAGTTCTCATATAAGTGTGATTTAAACAAGAATAAAATTAATAGATGCAGCTTACTGATAGGCACCATTATTTAAGCTTTTCAGGAAAAACCTGCGGGTGATTCAAGTGGTCTTTACGTGCGACTTGGTGATCCCTGAACTATTCATTTCCATACCCAAACTCCCAAGTCCCAAGCTCATACCAGGCATGAGCTGGTAACCGGACAAGAGGCTGTGGTTTGCCATATTATTGAGCCCTCCGAAATAAATATGAATATCCTAAAAATTATTGTGATATTTACGGATACAGGGAGTCCTCGACTTACGACGTTGTTTCGTTCTCGAGACGCGGTGTAACCCGAATTTCAGTGTAAGTCGGAACATTATACTGTACAGTGCATAAATTACTCTACACATATCGTACTGTAGTGTAAAGTATTGTACTGTAATAAAATGTACAAATAATGCAAAAAAGTACTTTATTAAAAAATGAAAACAATTCATATCACATGAATAAAAGCAAATACTGTACAGTACAGTATCATCTTTTATTGGACACGTACCGGTACCGGTAGTGGACATAACGATCGTTTCAATATTATGTTGTTGTTCTTGTTCTTTGACACGTTTTTGAAAAGTCGCTTTTCTCTTCGAATACTGGACCAATTGCTTTGAAATTTTCAGTGGTTAAAGATTAATTTTTTCGCTAGAAGGCTATTACTTTTATTTATTTCAAAATTTTGCGTGAATTCTATGAAATTTGATATTTCGTCTAAAATTTTGCTGTATTATTTTTTATCCACGGGAACACGGATTTTAGTCAGTGTCATGACTGGCTGTACGTTTTGATTCTGCAAAATTCTTGCTACTGGAAATTCAGAACTTTTTTGAGGGTACCGGTAGCGTCAAAGGTACCGGTAAGGACTGATTCGCTCTGGTCTAACGTGTATATATATTTGTGTGTAGCTCTCTTGTATTTTTAATGGAGTGCGTTCGTAACCTCGAAACAGCGTGATGGAGTGCGCGTTCGTAACTTCGAAACAGCGTAAGTCGCGACCCTCGTACTCCCTGTATACTGATTACAGGATTATTTATTTTTGACTTTTTTTTATTTTCACGTTAGTTTAGAGCAGTGGTCGGCAAACTTTATTTACTTGCGGGCCGAATATCCACTTTTCTGGTAGTGTGCGGGCCGCATTAATTTCTGTCTACAAACAATCGCCACATTTAACCTCAAATTATGGCACACTCGCACCTTCTATTGCTGTGGTAAAAGCCTGTCACAATGAGACGTGTAGGTGGCCTTTTTATATATATTATCAAATAATACATTCTTTTTTTTCACTTATTAACAATGTGAAGGATGATGTTTTTTCTGTGCAGTGGTGGGATTCAAATTTTTGTCAGCCGGTTCTATCACAAAAGTCATATTTTTCAGCCGGTTCTGTCACAAAAAGTCATCTTTTTTAGCAAATAAACTCATTATTTTTAATTACTTCCTAATTAACATTATAAAATAATTGTTAGATAAGCACGGCTCTATCGACTCTAATGCTTTTAAGATATCACTGTTAGACAAATCCCTGCGTCAGCAATAAAACTTATTTCAAAAAATTAATTGATGATACTTAACATTAACTATTTTATATAAAAAGTTACGCTAATTCCAGTCTGTAGTCTTAAAATGAATAAAAAGTGCCTTGCTCGCACAATTGACAAAAAATAAATAAGTAATTTTTATCTTTCTCGTGATACAAGACATATGTCTTCTGCTATTTGTTATTTTGGGGGAATAAACGTCAAAATAAGAATCATTACGTGCTGAATAACACGTCACGCTGACAAAAACAATTGGATATTCTAATAACAACATAAGCGCTGTGAATTGTCATTAATTCTGCATTTTCACTGACGATTGTTGGCCTCGAAGGGGGTTACTGGTACCCAGCAGGGCCAATGCGTAGGACGATTCGGCATATCCACTAACCGACATACCAGAAGAGATCGCCCGACGATATCGCGAGTTTTGCGCAATTTAAATTATGATTAACGAAATTGGAAAAAGCTTATCAAATACAACCCTAAACAGAAACGATAGGGACATCCATAACTATCACATTCTCCAAAACCAAACTATCTAACAAGAACACTATGCAACCCCAGCGAATGGTGCGAACCGGCTCAATCCCATCACTGCTTACAGCCACACTAAAAAGTAGCAGTCGTCTCATATATTTACGCTTCGTCTTAGCATCGGTCACGATTTGACCCGCTTGAAAACGGGAATGTCAATTTTACGCTAAAACGAGATTTTTTAATTAAAAAAAGAATTAAACTGCGCGATTGAAGATGATAACAGATTGAGATATATAAGGACTCACTATAGAAAATGCTAGACGCTATGTAGTCGAGATATGAACAATTGAAAATTTCATCCGAAGTTACCTGCTTTTACGGTAGAATTTTGGGGTCTAGTATAGTTTGGTACCACAAGTACTTCCAGTGAGCATAGCATAACGAATTTTGCATATGTTATTCCTAATCCCCACCTGACTATGCCATCCAAAAATTACGTTACTACGACGTCATCATCACGTCATAGGGCTTGTCGAAGTATAATTACGATCGCCCGAAATGCATCTGCGCCGCTGATACTGTGATAACGAACTCGCTAACGCCGGCGATCTCTCTCCTATCGGGGTCGTTGTGACGAAAAAACGAGAGAAATAGCCTGCTCTATTTCGGATGATCGTCTGCGCGTTTTGGACGACCTTCCGCATACTTTGGTGGGCCTTATTACGCCACTGTGACGTCGAAATGACGTTATTTTTCGGTGACGTAGTAGTAGGGGTTAGGATTGACATATGCAAAAATAGTTGAACCAGGCCATCTAGAAGTGCATGTGGTACTAAACTATACCAGACCCGAATTTTGTCTTGAAATCTCACTCTCGGATTTTGCAGTTTGTTTTGTTGGAATTCCTGCGTCTCTGTGTATTGATGACACTGGTACTTCCACTATACAGTATTCATTAGCCAGAGGCTCAGTTATCAGGTTCTGCAGATACAGAACCCACATCTTAATCCTAATGTAATGTAAGTTGGCACGGCAGTGTGGCGCATCGTGCTAAGCGTTAGGAATAGCTCGCCACTGCATATATGATTACCCTTTGTGGGTTCGCAAGTTCGAATCCCATGCAGGGATGATCATGTGCGAGAGGATTGCTGGACTCCTCACCGCCGTAGGGTGGTTCACGCAACCGCTGGTCAGTTGCGGCTTCCCCCACCACCAAGTCCATGCTTCCGAAAACAAATAACTGGCTAACTAATCCTATACCCGACCTGGACTGATAACCGGACGAGAGGCCGTGGTTCGCCATATGATTAAGCCGTTTTATCAGCTTTCCTATCCCCCCCCGGATAGATATGTGAATGCTATCCTATAATCTCCGAATCTGATCTGTTCTTATTGCTGTATCTGACAATACTTATATTATACAGTGAATATGCATAATCTAAAGAAAATATTACATCCAGGTCCAGGGAAATTTACTGTACGATACCTTAGAGGTGGCCGAATCACGAAGCATGTCAAGGAAGACTTTAATGAAATTCATAGAAATGGGAACAATACTGAAGCAATAGCAAGTCGTAGCCCATTACATGTGTTAGAGGCGTCATTTACAAAATCATCTGGTGATGCTGTACCATTCGAAGTGGTGGAACTTCAAAGTGAAGCTGTTAAACCGAAGGAATCTGAGAAAATCCTTGGGCGCCATATTGCTGAAGATATTCGATCAAAGAAGAATAAGGAATCCAATTTGCCTTCGATAAACTCTTTAAAATGTTCAAATCTTTCAAGAATGGGACAAGTAGAATTTGCGAGATTATTGAGAAAACACGTTATTTATGGAGACGAAAATTTGATAGTTTTGAACAAGCCATACGGAATCGCTGTGCATGGTATTATGAATTTTCCAGTTCTTTAATATTGTATTATTTGAATATATAAGTTACAAGATTAGGGTATGGACTAATCTGCTCTGGTCGGATTCGACTTATTAAGTTAATATTAACCCAGAAATTAATGCGGTACATTGCAACATTCGTGGTTACTCTTTAAGATAATACCACAAATTGATTACAGTAGGGCGCAGTTCTTCCGTTTCAAGATGTCCCGACATTCAGTTCTAAAAAACAAACACTTGATTTGTCTCTGAAGCGGAGTGGTCTGGCATGACGGCGGATGTGACGTGGTTGTCTCAATAATAATCTTAATTAATTGTAATGTGCGTTGGCCATCACATGACCAAAATTGCGGTTTAAAATTTGCGTTTTTTCGCTAAAAACTCTTGAATGCCACAGTAACATTTATTTTTCGAAAAAGCGGATTATATCTTCTGAGGAATCCAATGGTGATGTTTTTGGATTGCGCTTCCTTTTAGTTTGTTGCGCACTGCTTGTATGGAGGCCCAGATTGTCTTGTATAGGAGGGGTCACAATCACTGTTATAATTGATGTGTTTCATTGATATGAGAGCTATTCTTGGAATCGGAGAACTATGCCTACTGAATTAGTTCTTCCGTTCACACTTTTTATAGCAGAGGAGTGGGCCCAGATTGGACGGATACCGAACAGTAACTAGTCATTTTTATACCTAACATTCTTTAATACTCCCTATCCACCAACTTGCCGTTTTAAATTTTTTGAAATGATTTGAAGAAATCGGAAATTTTTATATTTTAAGATATGTTTTGATAGAAATAGGAAATTACTTGAATATATTTTTGAACTGCATATAAGCAATGGCGGTTGGACTGATGAATATAGACCAATAACTTTTACTGCATATTAATGTAAAAAATATCTGAATTGGCTATAGCATTTGTACTCACATTAAATCAGCATTGGAAAGGCGTATAAGGTCCAAGTTTAGATAGGTAAATCACTACTTTCCACATTCTCCTTGTTCTGCTTTGGTAAAACAGCTGGACTAATTCACATAGGATCATGCCTCGAAATAATGTAACATTAAGCTCTGGAATTTATTTAGATGAAAGAGAAATGACCACAAGTTTGAAATCGTCTCTTCCAATTTTGTCGAAGATGATATATGGTATAAATACATCCATTCCTCTAACTCTCTGTAACAGACTTGACAAAGGCACCACTGGAGTTACGGTTTGTGCCGCCAACAAAGACATGGCACAGGAAATTATAAAACTTTTTCGTCAACAAAAAATTAGGAAAAAATTTTGGTAAGTTGAACACAAGCGCTATATCCAAAACCTGAGGCATCCGTATCTAGATACCCACTAAATGAGGTATATTTAAAAATTCAGTATGGGAAATAACAACAACCGTTGTGAAAAATGGTCATTTTGAACACCATCCTACTTTATTTTACTGACCATCGGCTTCCATTATCGTAAATAATGTGTATTTCAGTATGCTAACATATGTTATGTATGAATATGTGAAATTCAAGCCTCGTTTTCCTTTCGAAGGGCAGCTACTGTGGGAACACCAAGTCCAAGACACGGTATGATTGACATTCCATTGGCTTTACGGCATATAGATGGAGGAAAAATGTCCAAGTCACACAGCAAAATGGGTCTTGCTCCAGAGCAAAAGTAAATTATAAATGTTTTTGCCATTTCATATCTTTTAAAGTTTGCTTGAGAAACTATGTTTAATAAAGAATTGTGGTATTATTAAATACAATAAATATTTAAGGATTTCTCTGAATGAATCTGACTTGAGAATATATTGATATTCATATACCAAAATGCAATAATAGCTTTTCATAATGTATTTGGAAAAGTAATTATTTAATAAAAACTTGCTTTTTTAATACTTAGCCATTGTTTAATACTGTCTTTACTAATAATATGTTATTTATCAACAAAAAAGGATTGATTATGAATCTGGAGATATGATTGGTGTAAGACGGAAGAAATCAGATATTGCCATCACTCATTATAACACTCTTGATGAAAATAAAGGACTTTCACTTATTGAGTTCCAACCTCTCACAAGTATTGTGCATCTGTATTCTCTTTTTCACTTTCGTTTTTTATGCCATGCAATTTGGTCATATGGTCTTTCATATACATCAGCAGACTTTGCAATAAATAAAATTTCAATACACATTTTCATTGTAAATTTTGAAAAATGATTTTTTGCATTGGCAGCTGGACACACATATTTTTACATACAATATACAGAATATTTCATCAAACATTTAATCACCAGTTAAGCTAATTCAGAATGGTTGATATTACACGAACCAATTTTAAAATACTTTCAATTGAGCTACTTTAATTTCAGCGGTTAAACATCAGCTTCGTGTTCATGCTTCAGAAGCTCTGTCCTGTTGTATACTTGGCGACCATAAATATTCATATGCTGACAATTTGCTTCCACAACGTTTACCTCGAAATATATTATCAATGTTTAATATACCAACAACAAGGTCAAGAGATATGCCGATGCATTTACACTTGAGGGAAATTGTAATACCAGGTAATTTTCATATTTCTATTCATAATTCAATATTTGGAGACTGAAGTTATCAGTTGCATACAAAATATAAATATTACCAATTTTCAGCAGATTTTGAATCTACTTTTTCTAGGTTTTCAGTTTCAAGTTAATATTTTTTTTATTAATATTATCAAGTTATCATATGTCCTTTTTAATTTATATTTGTATGCTATAAATTCTTCAAGTATGCGGCTTTGTATCCCTTGATAACAATACTTTCCATATGAGAGCACAAACTTATCTCTCCATTTTTATACCTTGGTTATTTACATATTTTAAAATATTGAATGTTGTTCATTATTCCAACATCATATTTCTTGTTGTTGCTAACGTGTTTTCTCTCTGTAACATTGTGAATGGTTATTGGTAAAACCAATTAACCCAATTAATTCAATATTAAAGCTTAGCGATACAATCATGCAAAGAAGCAATAACAAGCCTACTATAAAACTACAAAATTGTTGAGTGCAAGTTTATTTCACAGGGATTTTAGAATCTGCAAATGAACCTAATCTGTTAGTTTCTGCGAAACCATCAGAACACATGTATCGGACTATGAAAATATTCAGATTAAAACCAGGTCCTGTAACTGAGTTTGTGTATCCTTCACATTTATCAAGCAAACCAAAAATCAAACACAACAACCCGCATATGGAAGAGTTATATGTCGATCCTTTTCCTGATAATCATGATTTAAGTCTATCAAAAGAAATTCAGCGAGAAGACTGCTATACTGTTTATAAACCAAGAGTTAAAGTTAAATTTCAATATAATAAATGATAACGTGTGAAAAATTGGGTTGTGAAGCTTGCTTCGTTGATTGATTGTTGTTGAATGGAATATGGAGTTGCTCAAAATAAATTCTCCGTAAATCTTATTTCACCTGTTGTTCTTTTGTGCTTTTTAAGTGAAGAAAAGACTTTTATTAAAAGTTCCAAGTCGTTAGGTATATTCCGATAGTGGATTGTTGTTACTATATCACTTTTCGTCCGGTTAAACGAGCTCTATTGCTTGGATTTCTCCGTTCATTTATTTTCACTTAGCGAAGCAATGGGGTTCGGCACGGCCGAAGGAAAATCTACATCTTTCTTGGATTTATTTCGAACTATTTAGCTATACGTGACATAAGAGATGTATTGAAGCAGCCCACGCCAAATGTATCAAGATAAGTAGGTTAAATTGGTACCATCGCCAGAATCGATTTGGCTAGAAGAAAATGAACATCTTTCTTGGATGTATTAATTTAGCTGGAATTTTTAGTACGAGTATTTAGCTGAGAAGTTTTTGATATTATTAGCAAATTAATTCTATTTTAACAATTCTTTAGAGTATCGTCAACTGTCCAACGATATGCCTTCGAAGTACACTGGACTGTACAGTGCAGACCTGCTATAAACGGTTATTAAAAGAATTTATGATAAAATGTTAACGTTAAAATTTTAAAAGAAAACGCTATATCCTAGCTTTGTCCATATTATATCATGTATGGGTTTCTATAAAAGATGCGAAGATATAATGAGATTTTTGTAACTGAGATATTTCGAATCGCATGCTTAAGTTTGTATGATTATTTTTAACACTAACGAATTCTTGCTCCGTTGTTTACACTTTTCATGACAAAAAATAATGTTGGCTTTGTGTAGGAATTTTGGAATACAACTGACCACTATTGTCGTTTGAATAAGAACCAATGTCCATTGTTCTTGGTTCAAAGTTATTTCTATTGTTTGCTTCATTCGTCTTAACAATCAAATTGATTGTCACGCCTTTGCCTCTAAGATTGCTTAATCTTTGGCTCGGATCATGCTTATTCACAACTGAAATCAATTCAGTTAACTGAAGTGCGTACTGTCTATTCTTGAACAACTTTTGAGCATGTTTGCTCTTATCTTAAGTGAAGAGTAACTGTAAGAGCGTCACCCACTTGTCAGATGCCACACGAACAATGACATGGCTTATGGAGAGGGTCTGATTTGAGAGCATAAGTAGTTGTCCTTCATTTCGGATTACAGACAGGCACAAATTTATTTCTGGCACACCATACTGTAGCTGAGCACAGTCGAATGGCCGTAACTTCAGAAATACATATCGTAGACCTAAATAGGAATAAATGCGAGATTAGTTATCCAAAATCCTCCATTTACCTGAATACAGGACAAGATTGCGACGTTGATGATGACGTGTTTGTCCATGAAAGCGTGAGTAGCCAAGTTTATTTTTCTAGAGCGAAAATTTCAACTATATAAAAAATACAAAGAAAAAATGATAATCACACAATTTTACTGGAACAGGGAAGCCTCGTAGAACCAAAGCTGGTTAGGGAGCAGCGATACCCACGGTTCTAGAATCTAATTAAAAAAAAGATCGGGAAATGTAGTCTTGGAACTACTGGTATTGCCGCGATTGTAGTTTTAGTTTTGAATATTTCCATACTTTATAAAAACTATAATAATAGCCGACTAATATATATAGTAGCAGGACAATATATGTGCAAATGAATATTACAGGGTATGAATATAAATGAAAGCAGTAGTGGAATTCAACCGGTTCTATAGAACCGTCTTTTATGAGATCAGCGAACCGGTTAGCATTACATGACTTTTTATAACAGAACCGCCTGAAAATATGACATTTGTATGATGGAACCGGCTGACATAAAATTTGAATCCCACCATTAAATGAAATACACAAAAATCGTTACAAGTAACTTCAAAAAACTTGTAAACTAGGATGGTAAACAAGTCCTGCATTTTAGAAAAAAATATACACACAAGAAGAGCAATTTTGAGTGTGATGCAAGATAGATATATATGCAGCAAAAATGAAAATTTGTTATCTAGTTACAATTTTCATAAGCATGTTAGTTCGCAACGCTGATCTGTCTCCCTGGCAACGCATAATCTCCGACGAGAAAGAAGTAGGCTGTACCATTAATGATTGATTATTCAATACTATTCTCTATTTCAATTAACCTAACACTTGTTATTTGCACAGCTCCGAGTTGAACGTGGTGATATTACACATGATGTGTCAGATAAAGAATCGATCACTACAGTCAGGATAAATCTTCCAACGTCTAAAGCTGTGACGGGTACAGATGTGACTTGTCAGACTGACATTCCGTCACCTCCAGACAGCGCAAAAATAAAGCCTGAACAGAATATTTTCGCGTCTTCTGCTCGACTTGTCACAAAGCGCCACCATTCATCTAAAAGTTCAATTGGGAAAAACACCTTTTGTTGGAGACACGATGCATATGGTATTCAAGGCGCGCCGGCAAGACCTTCCAGTCCATCTTCTGCGATATCGTGTGACAAAATTGAACATACCACAGGTTAGTGATATAATTTTATGTCATTAGGACACATTTTTGGTTGATTGATTTATTGAATTTAGCGGATCAAGGCATCCGTTAGCTAGCGCCAGTTTCCCGACAATAAACGAGCCGAAGAGAGCGGGAGCATTGTTGTTATATGGACGCGAAAGCCAAATGTCAAAATGGTTCCCATAGTTTATTAGGTAAAAATGAAACAGCAAAACCTCGGAAAAAATAGCAAGTTTCGTAGGCCTCAGAATAAATTAAGAAATATAAAAGCAATAATAAGCGACTTCTTCCCTTTTCAAGAATCGAAAATTTGAAATAGATTGGTTCAATAGTTGTAGTGGGAAGCGATTTTTTCACAACAACAACCCTTGGCATCCCAATAAGACTAACGAAAGCTTCTTTTTCAAAAAATATGATCCTAGGCGGTATGGTAGGATACAGGATGACCCAAAAAATAGCCGATATATTTCGTATTTACTTTTACGAGAACGGAAAAAAGTTTTTAATTTTTGTTTGCGCTTGAGCTTCTGATTGTGTATAATTAAAGGCAAGAGTTTCAGGACGATCTGTACAAAAATTAAGTTTTCTCTAGTCTCTAATCTAGAATATGTTCCAAATGACCTCCTTGGTGTTGGAGACACCTTTGCATTTGTTGCGCAAAATTGTCAATCACTCAATTGTTTTTCTTCTGAAGCTCACTTTCTGCTGCCAGGGCATGTCATTAGCAAACATAATACTCACTGAGGCATAGCACCTCCGAAGAAAACTTTACAGAGATCATAACACTTAGTAGTGCACGGCCTAGGTAACCATTTCCAAACGTGCCATAATCGGTCCGTATCGATTTGAAGACGAAAATGAAATGATCCAAACGGTAAATATGGAATGTTACGTAGTGGTGCTGAGGAAGTTCTGGACATCACTTCGACAATGTAGAGAGATCGATCAAGATGAACAATGGTTCCAACAAGACGAGGCGACCATGCAAACATCAAATCACATCCTTGATTAGCTGAGAGAACCTTTTCAGGAAAAGCTGATCACCAGTATTTTGTTCTGTTCAGTTCTGTTTTTTGGGGGCTCACCCTGTATTTCTAGTTGAAAGTTCACAAATATTTCCTTAAACAGAATTTAATATAAATTAAGGTAGGCAAGGGGTAGAACGAATACGAACATATATTTTGCATGTATTGGTGATTAATTTCAATTATAACATTTTGCCACTACATACATGGTAACTTTTGCAGAAGTTTCACGACAAATCGTTCTGCACCAAGGTTCTTGTAGCATCTGTAAATCAGCGGAAGAAAGAAGACTAAATTTGAAAAGTAGAAAAGAATTGACCGCACACAGAAAGGTGTGAACTGGATAAATTTCATTGTAGAGGGATTTCCTTACTAACATTCGATGGTGTTGTCATAAACATTGCATGGGCAATTACTTATGATGGTGTTTTCAGTTACGTTACGTTTATTCATGTAAAACAGTGTCAGACTCGATAAAGAAAACCTGGTGACTTGTGTTTTGCAGAAACGTCATTGTGAACAGGCTGCAAATAGTCTATATTTTTAAAACCTTACTACGCGGGATATTGTCCCAATCTTACTCAATAGTAAACTGGATAGTCCATGGTGATCCGGACTGAATCGTTTTGTTCATCTACATTGGCTTCTTATATTTAAATTTCCACTTTACGTTTGTCATGGAAACTTAAGAGGCAACACTTTGAACACGATCAACCTTTTTAATGCGTATGCTTATTATGCATGGTTAGCCACGCTTTGTACAAGTGGCTTACGTGCAAAACGAAATTAATACTCTTTATTTTACAACTTCATGGTTAGAGGTTGAAACTACAACGTTATACATCATATTGTCCATGGGTACTTGGTGAATCAATCTCTTGAGGTAGTGGATAGAATTTTTACTAGAATCTTGATCGACGTCATTGTAATTAGATACAGTTAACTAATGTATGCAACAATATATTATTCCATACCAACAGAATCATAGTAAAAATTGTTATAAATAATTGAATGATAATGATAATTACCAGCTACAGTAGCTAACTGAAATATAAACAATTTTAATAGGTCTCTGTCGAGCCCAGTCTTGCAACAGTGAAAAACTGCCCTTCAAATCTCCTCCAGGATACTATTCCGAATTGTTCTGACATATGGGCAGAAAATCAGACTTTTTATTTGGGAATAAGCCGTGATCGTGCAATCAAGACAGCTGATGGTGTACGGAGACGAAGAATTCGCAGTGTACCGACTCCTTCTGAACTGGCAAGTAACGAGATTCGACTTACAGTTGAACGTCCTGTTAAAGATATTTCTAACAGTAGACCAAGATCAAATTTTGTATATGTTTTACAGAATAGATGTTTTTACTGTCAAGAAAGCATCTCATCAATCGATCTAAAAAACCACCCAACAACTTATTGCAAATTGCATTCGTTCCGCATCAGATCACTTTCTTTTACTACAAAAGGTTAGATTTGCTGAGATTGTTGATTTTACTATTCAATATCAGTTGCTCAATTGTAAAGGTCTGGCTTGGTAAATCAAACATACTACAACCACTCATTGGCCAAGTTCCATTGGTCTTTTGCCTTATTATATGGTGTTGAATAAATTACCTCGCCTCTAATTTTAGGAAATTTTTATGATTTCATTTCGGACTTATGCGTTGCGCCGTTATTTTTTAGGTCAACAAGAGTATTGCTTACCAAAATGGACAAAGTCTTCACAGTCTGGACGTAGAGATGCAAGTCTTTTTAATATTTTCTAGTTTATCATCAACAAATATATGCTTAATTAAAATCGCTTGCGAAAACTTGGAAGAAGTATACCAACTGTTCACGTCTTACCATCAACTACTTCACATCTATGTGTTTAATAAAACAGTTCGAAGAGAGATAGAACTTTGAGTTATCTTGGTTAAATATTAGCATGGTTGGTAGTCTAGTTATTATATTTGTATAATATCCTGAAAACTTCCAATATGGTCATATGTATAATAAAATAATTTTAATCTTATACAACTAATTAATCTAGGTGATATTTTTTAAATTTGTTTAGTGGCTTCTAGTCCAACGTGTTACGAAAAAAATTCCAACAGATCCACAGATATTGGATACTAACAATGTAAAACCTTATTATTGCGAATACGGACCACAAGAAATGATTTTTTGTTTGCATGATTTAAGGACAGTATCTTATATAGAAGATGTCTGCTGCCAGGTATATTCTCATGTCTTACACTTGTACAGTATGGGTAAACGAGATTGTATTTAACGTATTTCCTATATTCTCCAGTTTTATGATTTGTACGTGTATACGCAAAACAGTATTGTATATAACAGTAACAGTATAATTTTTTTATATATTTCTATGTGCTTAGACAACGATATAACATATAAGATTTTCTGAACAGCACTTTTTGCTCATGTCTCGCCAAGAAGCGCTTGATGGAGGAAAAACTGTAGAACTTCTGTTTTCTCCACAAGGTCCAGTTGTTCGAGAAGATAAACACTTGAAAGGTGAATCATTAGTGGACAATCTTGGCAAGTGGTCAGATTGGCAAGCTTATTAGATAAAAATACAGGGTTTCCTTTAGTTTTAGTCATTAAATTTATTGCCAAAAGTTCCATACACACGAACCTCTGGTGGTGCTAGTAGAAATTGTTTCCCATCAAGCTGTGTTGACTTGAAGTAATTTGAGTCGCAATTACTATGTACTCGCTGAAATCATCGTAGCCCCTTGGCCCTCAAATAAATTTGGATGTTGCTCTATTGCTGCTTCAGACTCTATTTATGTTGCGAGAAAAATTGCATATTTTTTACAATGATTTTTACGATCTCTCTATTTTCAGGTCGTAGTTTATTCTACTTCTGTTGTCATGTGGAAAAATCAAAGCCAAGGCGTTCTTCATCCTTTACAAAACCCGCGCCATATAAGCCGGGATCATCGTTGGGTACAAAGAAGGAAGACGACGGATATAAAAGCATATTTGAAGTTAGCTTCAAAGGCTCAGCTGCAAATAATTCCTTCGCCAGCAATCAATTAACAAAAAATGCTTCAAGTTCTAAGCCTAAGCGAGACATCGCGCCTCCGGTACCATTTGACTTAATTGATGCTAATACCCAAATGCTTTCATCTGCTTTTGCTTCAAATGCTGGCATCATCGATCTTGCTTCTTTTACATCCACTTGTAGCGCTAACACATCCAATAATAATAATTTTTCGGTAAGTGATACAGTGACTAGTTAAAAAACTATAACTAAACTACCGGTATATTTGATATTGCAAATGATTCACCAGTAGGCTATGTGGGCTGGTTTTATGTTCCACGACACGAATGTCTTGAAATAACTCTTCTCTTCGAAAAAAATTCAAAATTTACTTCAACTTTCGAAACTAAAATAGCTTTATGTTTTATTTTCATACAGCAAAAATTACATATTTCTATTCCATCCACTTCACCTTAATCCGCCTCATTTAATTGGAATGGAGCTTGAATGGTCCCATACATTGTAGGCCCGTTCTATTGCGGAAAGTTAGATTTTTACACTTTTGGGTAATAATATCGAGATAAGAAGGGCTGGTTAACAATATGTACTTTGTATTTTATTCCTGGCTTCTAATTAATATTTTCTTATTGGCTACGCTTCAAAACTGAAGAAAAATTACAATTTTTAAATTTTGGCGGGGGAATTTCATTATAACTTTCATTATAACATAGTCTGGTGCTATTTTTCAATGTTTTGATATTCCAGAGATGTGTTTCTTTTTCAAGTTTAAGTCTTTTTAGTCGCAAAAATATTTTTTAAAATGGGTTTGTATTAATTTCATGAGGATTTTTTTTTACATATAATACAAAAGACACATCTCTGGAATATCAAAAATACTAAAAAATAGCACCAGACCATGGTATGTATTTTATCGAGCGAATTCAATACAAATAGTTTTGACTAATTGAGAATTTTTAAATAACTTAATGCAAACTTAAACTGGAAGCTACTCAAAACAATGTCCTTGCGATGTTTTCACCTCTCATTCAATTTTCTCCTCAAGGCCAAATCTTTATATAATATTCTCAAAGGAGATTATTACGAAATCAATCAAGGTCAATTATTAACTATTTGATGGCAAGAAGTCTCTTACAAGTTGTAGATGGAACCGAATCCCGATCATCCTACAGTATTGGTATCGTCATTTCAATTTCTATTCAAAAGCGACCTGAATAGCAGTAGTCATAATCTTTTGTGGGATTTGTTCAAGTACCAGATGAGGCCATTGACATCAAACAACAAAATTTTTTATAACAATAGCTTAATATCGACAGATTTTGGTTTACCCGTTCAATACAATTGAGAAATTGTTCGTAGGCCACGAAGCGCCTCGGCCATTAGACACACAACTTCGAGAAAAAGCCACAAAGGACGCTAGTTTGCCACATAGTAACAATACGCGCAACCGATTACAATGAAAAGTAAATAAAATAGGTAGTTGCCCTCTCCATCCCGTGTTTATATTAGCTTGGGCTAACTGATTCCATTGATTTGATATTAAAGTCGATATTGGCCAGGAAAAACATGTTTTGTATTGCTCGGTCTTAAAAGGATTTATAGCCTCCAATGTGACATTTGCAACTATACTAGTCGTCGGTAAGATAAAATAGGCTACTTGTCATTTATTGAAAGTGTGTTACATTGGTGTAATGCTTCAAATATTTCTGGTATTACCGGTACGTCTTTCGTCACAATATGTTATCTACAGCTGGATAGAAATGAGCTAATTTTTTTAGAAACGACATTTCGAGGAAAGTGGATAAAAAAATGCGGGTATTCCAATCTAGGGCTGGAGAGCAAAATTCCTTAATTTTTTGTAATTTAAAAACTCATTCATGTTTGTAATTATTGTGGTGATATAACGAATAGGGATTTATTTTTTCATGCTATATATATATATATATTTATCTTACGCTTCAATTTCATGCTATTGCTTCATGTTTATGCTTAACCTTTTTGCACTATAATGTTTTAGTTTTCTAAATAATTGACAACATTAATTCAAATAAAAATGTTAAGTCTAGGAACTTACAGAAAGAATTGATTGAAGATAAGTTTTAATTCATAAAATAACTGCCAGCAAATAGAAAAGAAATATCAAGATGAAAGATTAATTTGTTATTGATTTTTTAACATTTTTTTTATTAGAGCACTGAAATTAATAAAAAGAAGAGTGCAAAAAGAACTAGAAAAGACGATATGAGGAGAAACTCACGCAAAGAACATGGGACTGGAAAATCAAAAAAGACTGTGACTTTTTCCGATGAAGTAAAGGAAGAAAAGGAGAATATTCTCCATCCAGTATGCGTGGATAGTTATTACATTTGCCTTTCTATTCGAAATTAAAATCCAACAGAATTACGAGTCGGTTTTAATATTTCGAGATTTTGATTTACGCGTGGATATCAAATAAAGTATTCAATGTTGTTTGTCAAACAAATAAAGATGATTTACTGGCAATACAATTATGCTTATGATAGATTTATTCTTCACTGTGAAAAAGTTGCTTTGAAAGCCTGCCTGCACTTCTAAACGACATATTTTAAAAACATTTATAACCTTGATAATATAGTTAGGTTAATCGTATAGGTAATCTCTTTTTCTATGGGTATACCGTGCTGCCGCTCTTATGTGAAAATAGAGACTGTCGGCGATCACCCTTTCCATTTTCAAAAGTGGATTTGAATAATGAAATCGTAAATAAATTTTTAAATTTTTTTTAAAAATTGAGTAACTCAAATATCTCCCCTTTTTACAGAATGATGATAATGCGGAAAACCAATTACAAATTCAGAGACGATCGAGTCTTCCGCCTCCACCAAAGCTCAAATTAACAGACGAAGATGATGATGGTGTTTTCCATAGAAGAAAGCGAAGGTATGCAGAGTATCGCAAAATGTTACTCTATTTTACGAGTATTGTACTCAAGATTGAATATTATATTAGATTACTGTATAAGTATTCATGCCGTTCTTCAGCGATACCCAGCAATAGTGTGTTTTGCTTGAGCATTTTTGTCAGACGATCTATGATTGCCATAACTATTTTTTATCTTTTTATCTATTAGTTATTACATAGATAAACAACATAAAACTGTTTTCATATAAACTAAGCCATCGTAGAACTATGAAGAAATTCGAATTTTTGATCCTTCAAACCATTTCCTCTTTCACATGTCTTGCGTTGGCTGTAAATTGTAAATAGCCACGTGCTGTGAGACTTTTGTGAATCACATCTGACCGATACAATAAATACTAAAGCAATAAATTTTGCAACCTAGTTTTGCATTGACATCGTGCTATTAGCATTACCATATATGAAACTATAGTCTGAATCAAATTCAGTATGATAGGTTTTCGTCGAGCGTTTATTACGGTATTGACAAAAAGCGCGCAAATATTTAACATTGGAAAGTTTGGGTAAATAGTAGGCCATGCCTTGATCTCTTCCAAGGTTTATTACAAAATATGACTTTGATTTATCGTACTAAAATTTGCTATCGATTTAAATACATCTTTTTTGAGTGTTGATTTTTTTTAGTTTCACTTATTTATAATTTTGTCACATTCAAACCTGATCCCCACTTAAGCCCTTACTGTCAGTGAACGAACCTGCTAAAGTTTGTCTTTGTATTTCTCCAGAGAAAGTGTTGCAATCAGTTTTGGCAAAGAACCTACAACACGGAAATCTGTGAGTTATTATTCTGTTTTAAATATAATTACTGAGCTCAATGATCAACCTATAAGCAAATAGATAGGATTTGTACATGTTCCAAGCCTTGCAATTTCATTACAGAATTGTTATTTCATCAACTATATATAGTAGTTTTCAAACCACCCCAATGTCTATTGGAATATAGGCATTCGATTCTTGGCTTTCTTAAGAATTGACAGAGGGCACGAACGTTTTGTGCCCTTACATAGTTCACACTTGAATTGTCTATTTTTTTACTTGATCCTGGCGGTCCTGACAATCTCGCGCTTGGTTAAAATTCAGAATAGACATTGTGAAACGGCTATATAGCGACATTGCAGTTTTCAGAAAATTTTCTGACTTTGATAAAAGACGACAAAATCTAGACACAGAACGGTTTAGGAGAAACTTGGAGTTTCAGCCAACGCTGTATCAAAACAATATGCACGAGCCCCTCGTGTGTATACTCCTAATAACAATATTTGTTGTCAAGTAGGAAATTCAAATGTTATACTAGTATATTAATACCTTGGAAATTGTCTCGACTTCTTTTCCTAATACCGAGCTTGTTATTATGTATCAACTAAATTTGCCAGTTTTCTTGGCCACAATTACAAAATAACAAACAGTAAAGACTATACTTGATTCCAATGAGTACCCCATGTATAGCACGAAACAATGGAAGAACATTCCACACAGTGCACGTTTCATTAGACTTTTGGATTTCATGAAATCGTCTATATTCCTAAAAACACGACAATGAAATTTGCTTAAGCGAGGCAGCAGTAAGGTGTATTATTCGAAATTTTTCGAACCTGTACTTGGTAATTCAATATTCAATAAATTCTCATATTTAATTGGCCTTGTTAAAACTATGTATGTTCAAACAGATTAGATTCAGAAACATTCAGGTTACGGGGGAGGTAGAAAATTTCACACATGACAAATCAAATGCTTGTTTACCGCAACTTTATCTCTTCTCTGTTGTAATTTCAAATATATCATCGATAAAATTGATTGGTTTTTCTTCTATACAATTATTAACCTTCTTTTTCTTTTAATCTTTAAAAATTGAATCATAGACTCAGAATGACGAATAGCATTTAATGGTGAATCATTCTGCGTTGTTTACAACTGAAGGAGGAGCAGTCGTGATGTCCCTGCCGGTACACAATCTTGTAATTTAGTTTGTTAATTTCTTGAAACTGGATAAGAGATTCTCGAAAATGCAAATACGATATTTTCTTGCTGTACTGTTATTTTCATTAAATTTCATTGGTGCACAATTGCATAATTCAGATCTAACGTGAATACCGATGTGAACACCTTTTTGAAAGCATTTCTTAAAACCGGAACAATTAATTAATTGGCCCATATCCAACCTGCTATTCAAAAATATACCACATATGATGCCAGTAATGGTGACACAATCATGACCGGTTATCTTTGTGGGATTTTCGAGCGTAAAGTTGCGCCTGCTTCATAATAATGTCATAACGTATTGTTTCCTCGAATTGATAAAATATTACGCACTACTGAACCGGATACGTCGTTGTTTGCATTACGTGCTCCGTGGAAAACTACCAACTTCCTTATTTTCTTTTTGTGCTAGTAAGCACATCGCTGGAACATTTGAAAGGTGCAATAACTTAGAACAAGCGATGCACTGTCTCATGATGTTTAAACTTGCGATGTTGTGCAAATAATGACCATAGAATTTTAATAGTTTCCAAAGCGGACAAAAATGACAGAAAGAAGATTTTCAATTTTGGTTTTAGCTACTTGTGCTATGTGCTGTTCTACTATTCAAGGCCATCGTGGATCCTGGATAAAATTTAACGATGAGTACGAATTTAAGATATCTGAACTTGGCAAAAATGCTACAAGATCAGAGGCAAAATCTAATTGTTCTACCGACCATGGCAAATTGGCGAAATTGAAAGATGTCGCAGAATATTTCATGTCCATGAACATAACCGGACAATTTTGGATTGGTAGCCTGAGTGTCAATATCTGTTCGGGACAAAATAGCAGCAGACAGTATATTATTGGCGTGATCGGAAATGTCTCCGATATTTTTAACTGTACTGCAATCGTCACGAATTACAGTTTTATTGGATTGAAAAGATTGTCTTGCAATGATCAAATGGGGTACGTTTGCATGAGAGAGCGTACTACATGGTCGGAATGGAGCAACTGTTCTTTGCCATGTTTTGGTAATCAATCCCGTAACATGTTACTGCCGAATAACACTATAATTAATGAAACTAGACCGTGCAATGGGACGGAATGCTCGGTCTCAATCACAACCACAACCTTTGTAAGCACGACGGAAAGCTACATCACGACCACGGCAACAGAATATGTCACCTCTCGCAATACCGAGACATCCAAAACATCTAAATCGACGGCATCGTCTACACCTCAATTATCAACAGCAAAATCTGAAGTAACAACCAAACCATCCAATTGCCGACCGCTGACGTGGTCTTTTGACGGAGGAAGTTTTTTGATAGGCTTCATTTTACTTTTGCCGCCTCTTGTAGCAGTAACCGTAAAATATTACCTAATGCTGCAAGCCGCCAAGTTGAAAAAAACTTCTGAACATAAATACCAAGATATAGACGATGTCAAAAAACCTGGGACACACAACTACGCTGGTGATAGGAAAGGTTTTAATGTACAAAGCGTTTCAAACAGGCCTCCGCACTACGAAAATGTAGTTGGAGAATCGGCTTCAAACACAAATTATACGTTGGAAAATCAGCTAAATCATAACGACGGAAATAGCGGCGAATTTTCGGCATACGAGCCTGTTCATCATGATAATAAAGAAGATGAAGATGAAGATGGATATATCACACATCCGGAAAGCACTCCGGGAAACACAGAGCAGTTTGATGGCTATGAAAATCCAATTTCAATCAAACGAACTAAAGTGACGACTGAATCTTCGGGGTACGTCAACTTGAAAGTTTTAAAAACCAATCCTACAATTCCCAATGTTGCTCTTAAACCACAAGTTGCTCTAAAGCCGCCGAATCCAGTCATAGACCGGAAATCAGCCGCAAATAAGCCCCCCAGTGGGTCCAAGCTTGATCTAAATAACCAGAATGTTGAAAATGCAAATACGGATGTATTTAAAGTTGCACTCAAACCAGTTGTTAAATCTACATCCAGTCCAACAACCAAGCCAAAAATTGTTTTAGAAAAAGAAACTGGAAGGAGACCGCAGTATGCGCTTAAACCTATCGAAAAACCAAAGAAAGACATGAAACCAACTTCCCCAAAAGTCAGAGGTTCGATAGACAACATTGCAGATGCCAGAAAGGCACTCACTCCCGTTAAAAAGTGAATGTATTATAAAAATACACTGGACATTTACGCAATAGTACCAAATACACCAATAGTCATAGTCAATTTTAACTACTTCTTTAACCAGAAGTTTTTACGTTTGAGAATAATCGAGCTTCAGGTGGCTTATCTGTCTGGCATGCATTGCAATAATCTGGATAGACGACAATAAGAGCACGAAATGTGCGATTAGTGTCCAATATTTTCAAGGCTTACGAATATATGTTTTGGTTATCGCCATTTTATCAAAATTTACGTTTTTGGACGTTTAATGATCTACAAAAACTGAATATAGTAATATCGTAAAGGAAGTTATAGCAATTTACTGCAGTTTCCATTTTCAGTATAGTTGATGTGGTCATGAGTGGATAGTTATAAAGTTTTTGGTTGTTTAAAAAAATATGTCAATGTTTTAGTTTATAAAAAAAACAAATACTTCTCCGCGTCATACTCATACCACACTATATTAAACTCATTTAGCCCAAGTAGAGTATGGCTGAAATGTTTTATTTCATTTTTATTTTTGTTACTTCAATGAGAATGGCCAATGTAAACGCTATTTTAAATCAGCGATAACAAGGTCTGACAAAATTTGTGTTGCAAATGCATTCAGAGCTATTCATTGGAATTTATATATATTTACGATTGCTATATTCTTGCTTGAATACGAATCTTGTTCAATTAATAAGATATTCATATTTTACGATCTGTAAACGATTTGAATTTCCATTGCGAAATGTTATTTCAACTTCTATGATTTTACCTTATAGCAATATTTTGACTTCAACTTAAAATGATTGTGTTCGCTTAATTTCTTTTTTACATTTGCACTTCATTTATTAACAGAATATAAAGTGAATATTATTAAGTAAATAAATACACAATAAAAACATTGCAACAGACACTGAGAAATGACATATCATTCGATTATTACAGTAAATTCCCAGAATCTTGCTGCAGAAAGAATAATATTTGTATTAGAAAGGTTTTAATTAATCAAGAACTGCATACTTTTTTAACATGGATAAATTTTATGTAAACAATTTGCTTGAAAATTGTGAAACGTACCGTTGAGGAGGATCCATAGGTTATATGTTTGTCGTAAGAGTTAATATGTCATTTAAATAGTGTTTTTGACTGACTAAATGAAACTGGTTGAAACAACAACTTTCTAGTCATACTGATGTTAGATATTAAAAAAAATGTGTGAAGAATTTTCAGTAATAAAATATTTAGAATTCTCCATACGGAAATAGATTTTGTCAAGAGAATTTACACATCTACTGCGTACGACTAGGAATAAGTTCAATTACTAAAGTGTACTCATATAGCCAAACATGTTTTGCCTTTCGCATAAACGAAATATTATATTTATCATTTCAATTGAGATGTGGGCATAGTTGGTAGTTACGATTATTGACCGTGATTGTGCCTCCGCGCACTGTAGCAAAGTGTTAGTTCATTGTATTGAGGTTGATTAATTTTTTTACTCAATATTTCTGTTCAAATACAGACGTACGTGTACGAATAATTTTTACATCCCGCTTGGAATGAAAACCATATAATGTGCACGGCAAACTATTAACACCACTCTAATAATAAAATTCGTTTTCTATTATTTCAAATGTTACTCATATATTACTCATTCTGTAAACGCGTGGAAGTGTGTGTGGGTTCAATCTAAGCTCAATGGCTTCCTTTTTTTTACCATAATTTTATATTATGTATTATTTAAATTATATATTATATAAATTGATTATAGCAGGACAAAGTTCGAAGCCATGAAGAAACACCAGTGGTTGCGTCCTACCAGAAAAAGCAATGGAAAACTATAAATGTTATCGTTTCGTTTAAAAACGTGAAATTTTCGGGAGAATTTTTTGAATATAAATCTTTGCAGGTAATACCTATATGCTATTTGTGTACAAGCACTTTTTTGATCTACCATTAAAAGCAACGGAAAAATAGAAAATCACCAAAATGAAATGATCATTCATACATGGATCCTTCTATTCAGACAATTCTTTTTTGCTTTGTTGTTTAAAAAATTCGAATCAACTTTTATTGATCCCAACTGATTGAAAAATTCAAAAAATATTGGACACATTTAATCGCGGTATCTGCATTACTGTCAATATTATAATATAACTATGCAGCATTGCATTCAGCCTAGATGGGGGGTAAATCATCAATTGGACATTTTATATGTAAATGGGACCTTTCAAATAACCATCACCATATAATTCAACAAACATCCAACAGCTACCACTTGCTCATGATGGACTAAATACCCTCATTATGATGAATTTGAATGAGTATCCGGTTCTATTATTTCAAGCCAAACCGGACACATTGGCATTTTGAACGCTGGTAACCTCTTATGTCTAGGTTCCTCTTTATACAGTATTGTTTGCGAAAAAAGTGTAAAATATCTCATTAAATATGTTCATTATCTATGCGTTGTTTGTATTTCATTGTCACAGGACCTCTATACTTGGTTGCGACAAGAATTACTAAAAGAGGAGTTATTGACTCCTGGAGCTGATCTTCTACTTACACACGAGAATTTGACATTTCCTTTGAAAGCAAACACTGCTACAAAAGTTTTATCAAGTCTCCCGACTACAACTTTTTACTGCAATGAAATTATTAAGGTATACCTTGTCACGAGAATCAAATATTTGATTTTAGAAATATACAGATATTTCCAATATCAATTCTATAGGTGGCGAATTTGTGCGTGAGCTCACACTTTTAGGTCTGAAGCCACACAGACAACTGACCATTATTGAGCCTATCTATCAAATAAAAATAAAGATAGAAGTATTAGAACGATGCTGGGGACATTTTTCATTTTATTACTAGTGTGCGCGCAAACTAAATAGAAAATCTTGGCCATTAAAACTCATGTAGGCATAGTTCGAAATTCCTCAGTTTCGCTGTATCACCGACAGATGACTGATAATAGTTCCGTTTACTGGTTTGCCACGTAACTCACTCTTTGTATCAGACTTACACAAGCTGTTCTGCCGTGTCTGTTTGTTCCATGCATAACAGTTGATTTATCTGACAGGCTAGCATTAACGACGGTGGTTTCGGAGAATCCACTAGTAAGTATGATACAAGATTTGCTTTACCTTTGGATACGAGAGAATTGGAAGGATTGAATCCGGTGCAATACCTTGGCAGATACTGTATAGTTAGCAGTACGTGGAAAGCCTTTTACCTCAGCGTGTTTTCGTCATATGATAAATGGAAAAAAAAGTACGATTCAACTTTATATTAATCCTTATAATCTTGACACCGTTGGCCCAACGAAAATGATGTCTCAAAATTGTAGTGTCCTACTTTCACCCACTTGTCTCTCTTATTCCATTTGCTTCACACTTATCCTACTGTTCTGAGTTGGGGTAAATATAAAATTGGGGGGAACGGTTAGAGAAGAATTCAACAGCGGTGAAAGTAGAATTCACACTTTGTTCTATGTTTAGGATAGACATAATACTTTGGCAGAAAGTTAGAGTATTTTTATCGAGTAGGATTTATGTAATTGGGACGAGCGTGGGGCAATTGTGGGCAAAGCGGGATATATGTGATATATGAGAAACAAGTGAGACATGCTTTTTTGAAACATCAAAAGCAGAACTAGCGAATTGCTCCTATATCTACGACTTAATTATCACTGGGTTATAATCAGGACACGTTTATGTGTTTAATTTAATTCCACTTAGAAGGCACCATTATTATATATTTTTAGTAACATGGTAAATATTGTTTATCGCTATTTCGCGTTGTATGTGAAGTAATCTTGTAAATTCTGAAATGCATATATATGTAGGTAAATTCCGTCATTGAGCGTGTATTGACGATACACGGACAATAAAGAATTTACTACGTTTTCGATTGTATTTCAGAAAATTGAATTACAAGCAAGTCTGTGCTGCGATGGAAAGATTATTTGTTGAACTTGCGTATCCTCTGCTTAAACGTGTTGTTAAATTAATGGGACTTGACGTTATTGGAGAACAAAGCACAGCCGATAATAATAATAATAATACAGCCGACACAGATGACTGGAAGACAACATTTTCGATCGGACCAAATGAATTTGTCAGCATGTGTTCCTTAGCTAACCGAATAATTTGCAGAGAAGATGAAATGTAAGTTAAAACTGTGGTAATAAGTAGTTGTTTTACAATAAATGAATGCCGCTAATAAATCCACTATTGTGGACCGTTCTAGTTATTAAAACTTTGCGAATTCAGTTACTATTGACTATCGTGTCAATGTAATCAGCTGACTCAGATGGTGGCTTTTTATCGCCGTCGTTTTAAACCGAACACTGAGCTATCGTATTCTAGTGTTTGGAGTAGAGATGTACCGATGTATCGGTATCGGTATCGGCGATATCGGCCATTTTTTCAATATCGGCCATGTATCGGTATCGGTTAGATTAAGGCCGATATTTCCGATATATTTACCTTTTTGATATGGTCCAGAATGTTTTAAAAGATAAGTTGGAATACTACTTTTCAATTTATTTTTTGTCTGGAGAGATCGTGAGCTATGAGCCATACATGTCCCCACCCCCGCGAGAGAATAGGATTCACGTGTTTTTAGCTATTCATCAGACAAATTAACTTAACTAATTTGGCTATTTTCGCTGTCAATTTTTTATATTGACATTTTTAATATTACATAGTAATTATGAAGAAATATATCAACACGGCACATAACATAAAGCAATTAGACGCCCAGTTTTAAATCATACATTGGAATTGTGGTCCTTATTAACGGCACATGGACTTTTGGCACGGGTATAAATTCTGACTGTTTGTCGTCAAGTACGAGTGTCATTTAGTCCGTCGACATCGATAAACTAAATCCCGACACAATTATCCCTCTACGCAGGTATTAATTTTGTTTAACTACACAATTTCTTTATAGATATATTGACATGACCGCCTAGCCCTAGACTGTCACAAAATATATGATAGCAATTAGGCTTGCACGTAATTGACAAAAATCAATTCCGTAATTACGGCAAAATCAATTACGTAATAACCCCGTAATTGCGATATTTTTTCACGCATTTAAACCTATCATAACAACCAATTGAATCCACTTCTTTTCCGAATGGGACATTGAAGTTGGGTTTTCATATTCTTGGCAGTACTACACGCCGGCGGCAGATGTTAAAGACAAGATCAAGGAGTGAATTCAAATTAATTTTATTCTGATTTTTATCTTTTGTGTTAGCTTTGGTTTTCCTTTATCACCTTCGCAAATTAACCGTCCCATTTTTATGCGATCAATTTTATCATTACCGACACTGGTATACGGATATTTATGGAAACGATAGTTTTTTAAAACCACCTTAGTACTGAATAAAACTTACGGGTTTCTAATTTATTAACCAACGACGAGAGTATTCTCCCGTTTGATTATACTTGCGATTTCCTTGCGACGAAGACTTGTTTTTGCAGCGTTTTCTGCATTATCCGACATTACTGCCTTGTTAGAATTTTATAATAATAATTATTGATGTCGACTTATTGACGATATTCCGATTACCATGCTTCATTTTACATTTAATCATTTCGCGGACTGAATGTTTATAACGTTATTTGCGATAAATTTAGATCAAATATTATTTATTTGCGTATAATTTAAATACCGAACTTATATGATATGCATTCTCCGAAAATACTAAGTTATATCGCAAAACAATGCATTTTGTGACATTTATTTTACACTCACGACATTTATTTGCTAACTCAAGCCGGCGTTCCTATCGGCCAAGATTGACACAAGTTTGGTCGAGTGCCGGTGGTATTCACGTCGACGATAAATCAAAATAAGTTGCCGCATTTGGTAAGACAGTTAATCATATATGGCCGAAATATTGCGAGGAATTGTGAAAAACATCATGAGCAAGGCCAAGTCCGGACTGATATATAACGATAAAACCGTTAACAGAACATCAAGATTTTGTAATAGAAAATGGATCTCGCACAGAATAAACACACTGGCTCATATTTGATTATATATGATAGCAGTTAAATTTTTAGCGGTCCGCGAGGAATCCTTCGTTTTGTTGTTTCTCTGCCATCTCAATCGCTTTACCGATGCCGAAAAGACGAAGTTGCGTTGGTTCATTACGTAATCTCTCTTTTGTCGTCATATTGCTATTTGATAAGCGCGACATCAATTATCACGGCGTTGTATTGGCGCGAGTGATCAATCGCTCTTTTCGCTATATTTGGTTCCAGTTCGTCGCGAAAGCTCTTCGTTAAATTTCACAAGATCGTCGTGTTGAAAGGTTATGGATATTTTTCTGTTTATACCCCAAGTCTGAAATAAAACAGCCAAAAACAGTATGATATTCCATGTTCATATATCAAGTGTTGATATTAACAATAAAGAATGGTTAAGCATTGCTAATCCACACTTGGTGGGGAATTCCCACTATTTAAACGCGTGACTATAAAATAGAATAAAATAGAAACGGAACATATATACCATAAGTAACGGAAAACTGAAACAAGTAAATAATAAATAAAAGTAAAATGGATACAAATGTTTGATAGACCTTATTTGATAGAGGTGGTGTGTCGGCGTCAATCGGTCTCAACGCAATTCTATCCCTTATCTACGGTTAAGTTGCGGGAGAAGTTAAAACCAGGTGTGTTGGCGTCAAACGGCCCTACTCAGTTCTTCCCCCTTAACTACGTTAATAATTTACATTGGCCATGCCAGATAAGTTGATAATAGGTTAGTAAATGGCAACGCGTCATGCCTTCCTTCACCTACGTAACGAGAGAGAAACGAGAGAAAAACGGCTGCGAATACCGGAACTCTAACTTCTTCTACTTGTTGAGCTTTCATTTTTCGCATTCGACGAAATTGACTGCTTTGAAGAAAGCTCGTTTCAATGCAATAATTACGACTTTACGTAATTCGTAACTTCCCTTCCGTAACCCCAAATAATTACGTAATTCCGTAAATCCGTAAATTACGTGCAAGCCTAATAGCAATTGTATAATAATATAAAATAGTAAAGTAAAAAAAACGTCCTCGACGGATATAGGTAGGCCTTCTTTTGGTCGGTGCTGATTGATATTCTTTCATGTTGGCTTTGACTTACTTATTGCGTCGACGATTACGATTAGCCACGAAATAAAATATTTGAAAAATGCTTTCAATTTGAACGTAGGACGGCGGCTCTAGAATGTGTGGGTGATATTCGATATTCTTTTAAACACGAATAACGATTTTTGAAGGTCGCGATATTAACATTAAATTCATATTGGACATCCCGGCTTATGAGTTTCAATTGAACACCGAGATTACCAGCGTTAGTGTACAATGTATCTTAATCAGTTAAAGCATATGGATACCAAACATTAATTTCATATTATGCGACATATATATCTTTTTTCTCGATCTGAAATATTGTGTACTATGAACAACGCTCTAAGACCATTGTTTTAACCCGTCTGCCCTACACAGCACACTTAATTAGGTAATAATTACATAGTATCGGTATCGGAATATCGGTGATATCGGCCTTTTTGTAGTATCGGCGTATCGGTATCGGTATCGACGTTTTTAGCTGGTATCGGATCGGTATCGGTGACAAAAGTGGTATCGATACATCTCTAGTTTGGAGGACAAAATAGATCAACGTAGATTCAAAATTAACCCGAACTGTTTACGTGGATAAATATTACTTTTAACTTTCAATTGAAACCAATGAGAATTTTATAGAGCAGCTCACGGTGATAAAACATAGAGATTTGCAAGATAAATTTATGATTGCGACGATGTCGATATACATTTCATATATAGTTATTGTTACACTGTCTGTACTGATTTTCCAATAATGCAGAACGCTGGTACTACAGCAGAAATGACAAGTTTTGCTGCCGAAATTATTTAATTATTTATTTAACAACTGAAATATGCTCATTATAGTGATGGATTTCATGTGAACACCATAAAGCAGAAAAATACTCAACTAGAAGATGCCGATTTCTTCAACATCGAGGGAAAAATTCGAGATTATAAGATGAATCCACTGACAAAACGCTTGTTGTTGTATGTTCGAAATAAACCAAGATAATGAATTTGTCTTTATCAGCAATCAACGTGTAATGGAGGAATCTTAGGTCAAATTTCTTTTATAAATTCAATGAACACATGAAAAATAATAATCATGTTTAGGTTAATTGTGAGAGAAGTATATATATATATAATATACTTTTTGAGAATCGATCCATCTGCGGCCAGGTTTAATGTATATATGAGATAATTGAAATATATATACAATTTTTCTAGTCTCAGTTTGATTGAATTGAATCCAACTCTGTATATATTAATATTATATTTGAGTTTTCTTAAGACATGATTATGCAAATGGCGTTGGACACAGTGCAACTTTTCCGCCTGGTACGGACTGTCGTACTTACTACTCATTTGCTTCGAGGATTATTTTCTCTTACTGCACACAACCCACTAAAGCACCGCAAAAACTGCACTTAATTATATCAGTAAATTGGTCGCCTTTTGCTATAACTAACTAAAGCGTTAAACGGGTTCGTGATGTAAATTATATATCTAATTATTTATTGTATTCCATGACGTATATTGTATACAGTCTACAATAATTTGTACTTGCGTTGGGTGGCAGTAGAGATTAACAAAATATACTCGTTTAATATCTCACACTACCTAGTTTCGCAATTATAAATTCACTATAGTTTTGTGGAATACTCATTCTCTTTTTGTCAAGTTCCCATTCACCTTGTTCTGTTGGGTAGTTTAAATATCAAATAGTGTAGTTAGGCACCCATGGTGGCAAACATTCGGAGAATATCAAACAACTATGCCACCATTATTAGCTGTTAGATCAGGGGTCACCAACGCGTTGCCCGCGGGCACCAAGTCGCCCGCGAAGCCCATATTAGTCGCCCGCAGGTCTGTTCCAAACTAAGCTTAATAACGGCTCTTATAAGTAAGCTACATCAATTATATTTTGTCCTGCTATTTTAGTATAAATCACACTTATATGGGAACTAAAAATGACACTATATTAATTATTGTAACCATCAACCTCATTTTTATTTGACCTCAGTAATGTGACGGGTCAATTAACACTCTTCCAATTATGACATCACACTGAGATCACTTTCCACGAACCCGCGCTTTTTCTTGTCCGTTAGTTAGCGGAGCAGTAATAATACAATTATTGATTCCAAAGAAAAATCCATCATTTTCACGATGAATGGGAGGTGGATATATTTATACCACCATGAAAACAGCCTGCGTGTGTCTCATTAGTGGGGCGATTTTAGCGACGGCAAAGCGGAGAGATATTTCACATCTTGTCACGTAATCTTCCGCGCTAACTACCCACTGGTCAGCACAGTACAGACAGAAGAAGCTCGCGATTCAAATCATACAGCAATCCTATTTTACGAGACCCTCGTTTGTTTCAACCTATCCTTTCGAATCAACATTTTTGACATAAATTCAGGATAGGAGGAGATTTACATATTTATCCCGGGGGAGAAGATAGCCGATAGGACGGCTTAACCACATGATAAACCACGGCTTCTCGCCGGTTACCATTCGATGTCGGGTATGGAATTAGTTAGTTATTTGTTTCCGGAAGCCTGGACTTGATGGCGAAGGAAGCCTCACTCCACCAGGAACAAACATGGAACACGCCTCACTGATGAAAATCTGCAAGACTCGCTCAGAGTTACAGTGTCAAGTTACACGTCGGAGTATAATACTGTTTAAGTCCATTTTATCTTAGACTTGTCCAGAGTGTTGAAAATCAATTTGAAAACACTCAGTTTTGAAATACAAGTGTAATTGATAGGAATTTATTTGCAACGTTGTGATAATCGTTTGATTTCCTGAAAAATCCTAAAGTTTATTAGTGTCTATACTTCACTAAATACCAGTAATTATATCAATAATTGAAGCTTAATCGAGCAAGTGATTTTTTTAGAAGTGTACATTGAACTGGTAGCCCGCAGTTTAATCTGTACCCAAAAAGTAGCCCTCGGCTTCGAAAAGGTTGGTGATCCCTGTGTTAGATCAATTACAATCAAGAATTGCATTTATGCGTTGACCAAAATCAAGTTGTGAAATGTTCTTTACTAGATCGAATAAAGGTTGCAAATGGCCACTAGATCTTCGACAGTCATTTAGGGGATTTACATAAAAAATTCAATGTCATATACGTATGCAGCCAACTCGATATACATATACAGCCGTTTAGATGATGTACGTGCATTATTCAGTCGTAATCTTCCACATGATATGTACACATAACAAACAATACATACAAATTCAGCCGATTGTAGTGCATGAATACGTGTAGTATTTAATTTGATTAATTATTTCACAGTTCACTGCCAATGGCCAAACAATAGTTCATTGAAGAGAGAATTGCTAAGCCTTTGTTGTCGCCAGCCCATTCCTTGTGTTATGAACGATTAGTTGGTAAAGAACATTATGAGCGATTACCAATGAATGATGCTTATATCTAAGCATATTATTACATCAACTTTATACGTGGAATTGATTATTTCTTATATTTTATTCAATAGTCTTTTTAAAGTTTCCGTAAACGTTTGTATGATATTGTATGTATCAGTAACCATGTACAGAGCAGAAGTTCTCGGGAAAAACGTTGGCATATAGTTCAGCTGTTATTGGTATCTACACTCAAATCTTTATACGACCTCCAGTCAATAAGTTAGAAATACATAAATACACAATAACTCAGATGTATCTTTAGTTTTTCGTTTATTAATATGCAAAGCTATTAACGACAAACAAGATAAAATAATTCAATCAGCAAAATCAAGTGCAAATTGGTTCGAACGAAAACTGAATAATAAACAGGTATGGAATAATAGACTTGACAAAGCGACAATGGTATGTGTTTTGCAGAAAAATATTTCCACTAAAACGTATAACACATCTTCCAAATATCTTGAATGTTGTGTTGTGCCGGTTTTATTTCAAACTTGTAACTTGACATAAATTTTGCTGAACCAGAGTTGCGAAAAAGCAACAAAAATGAAATAATAAATGGAACTCACGTTGAAATTTGAGGAAAACAGTTCGCAAAATAAAGTAAAAGACATCACCAAAAGATAGCTCGCAAGAAACAAACGTTCAGAAAATATAAATAAAATTACCGATAACAACTGAATGTGACAAGAAAATTATAATTCAAAATGAATTGATATTAGAAAATAAAATCAAAGGAAAAAAGGACAGGAGTAAAGAAAAGAAAGATAGTAATACAAGTAAATATTACTGAATTAAAAATAATTTTAAGCTAAATATTTATACGAGGGTTTCAGAAAATAAAACTTGGTCAGAATCTACACTGTGAAGCGAACTCCTTCCGGTATCGGAGTCATTGTCATAATTTGAATTTGATTTCAAATCTGTTGACATTGTCTTTGGGGATATGTGATGCGATGCATTTTGAAACCTTAACGGGTCTTTAAATGTAAAATTACGATCATCAGGGCTTGGCGGAGGAATAGTACGCGGCGACTTGGGAGCCGTGACGTTCTTACGCCAACCGGAGTTGTTTCTTCTGATAAGTTTTTGTTGTTGCAATAACAATTCTTGCTCTTTCGCGTCGACCGTCGGTTTCTTAGAAAGCTGATTGGGCTTTGGAAGTAATTCTGGCTTTTTCAATTTTGGTTTCATGCTTGCTGGTGGCGGGGGTGGCGGCAAAGGTTTTGATGACTGAGTGGTGGGTTTTCCTTGTGAAGAAGAATGGGACTGAGAATTGTTGTTTTGTTTAGTATTAATAGGAAATACAAAGTGATTGCCAGCCGCTTTTAGGCTGCTTCTCAAAACTCCATTTCGTCCGAAAATAGGCTTTGACCCCTCTGAAACACTTGGTATTGGTCTCGGGCTACCACCGTCACAACTGCTGTTGCGACTACCGTCACTGCTGGCAAAACTTGTGGTGCTCCCAGCTGAAGCGTTGCCAGAATCGTCTGTGTTATTAGAACATTCGGCAATTGCAGTGGAAGAGAGGGTACTTGGTAACAATCCGTGATTACGAGATGTTTCTTTATTCAAACTGGTTTTAGCGTCAGATTTGCTTCCCATTGTTCTAAAATCGGAAGGATCTTCGTAATCACTGTCATTGTAACGCGATGGTGACATGAGTCCGTCAGGTAAAGGCAACATCGGAAGTAAACCGGGTGTGATAACTGAAGGCGTGTGAGGTTTATGAATTGGCGCCGTACGGGTATTCCTGTTGATTGGTTTGGGTAAGGGGAGGTCCGAGAAAGATGCAGGGGGATTTGGTTTTACGCTAACTGCAGTCTGAGGTCCATGTTGGTTTGTTGCAATCTCAACGGAACTGTGAGTGTGTTGAGCGTGTTTCATTTGCTCCTCCATTTTGCAATGCTCACACCACATCCACGGTGTCAATGCTTGATTCAATGCAGGGGTGGTTGTTGTGGATTGTGCATTAGGGTTTATTGGCCCTTTTGATTGTCCGTTTACGCAATGTGACGTTGGATTCGGTTGTGTAGCATCGATATAATGCGTATTTTCATCTTCGGACCAGCGGAGCGTTGTCTCTGCTTCAAGGACCGCCATGTGCGAAGCCTCTAAGACGTCAAGATAATTTCTCTGATGAACTTCAAGGTCATATGCTGTTAAGAGTTCGCCATATTCCTCCCATATTTCGGGATCGACACCTTCTTCTGACATTGCTAAATCTCGGACGCATTTAATCAAATTTTCACCTTTAGCCTGTAAAATAATAGTTCGAATATGAGTTAATATATCAAGGACTTCCATTTTATGGATTAGTCTTGAATATTCAAAAAAATAATTATTTTTGAATGTTTTGATTAACTTTAACAACGGCGAACTTTTGAATAATTTTTTAACAAAATGAACTTCTTAATTAAACAAAAAATGACATTTACCTGAATTAGGTAATCCGAAGTTCCCAATTTGTGCTCGACTTCGTCTATCTCGGCGGCAAGGCGAAGGCTGAGGTAGAGACTAGCTTCAAGTTCTGTCCTTGATGCTCCAAGCTCTAATGAAAGCGCTTCTTTTCCTCCAGTTTTTACGTCGACTTTCATAGTTGAAGACGTTTCCTTTTTGCCGGTTTGTTCATTCCAGCTCTTTACTGAAAGGAGTTCGTGACCTGTGTCATCATCGCTGACTTCATCCTCATCACTGAACCCGAGCATGAGAGCAGCGGCCTTTGTAACAGGATTTACTCCTTCAGTATTTCTCTTTGTTGAATCGGTAGAAACACGCCAGACTTCTTCTTGCATGTCTTGGAGTATGATTTCAGATTTTCGTTGCGTTTCTTCAATTTTGAGCTGCATTTCGACAATTTTCTCACAACTTTTGATGTACTGTTCTAATTGTTCAACGTCTTCGCATTGAAGTATCCATGGCGTTGTAACTGGGATAGATGGCCCACTCAAAAGTGTGTTCAAGGCGGTAACACTGTTTGATTCTGAATCCATAAGGCCGGATAAATACGTGTCCTAAAAAGAAAATATAAAACTGAAAGTTTCAAATTATAATGAATAATTTATTATACCTTATTAGAGTGTATCAATTCTTTATTTCTGGTATAACATTTGTCCATGTAATATGAATATATACGGACCTGCACGTAATTTTTTCCCAAAGCTCTTGCACGCAGGTTGTGAATATCATGCTCGATTTGATCAATCTGTTTATCCACATCCGCTAGACGATGCCGTTGATTCTTAACAACGATGTCTTGAGACTGTATCGTTTGTAGAACTTCGTCGCTTTCTTGATCTTCGCTTGAATCATCTGTAAAATAGAATAAAATTTCATTATAATTTGACTTTAACGCACCTGAAGGCCAGGCAACGCTATGATATTAATGATACGTTGCCATACAAATACTAAGACTTAAAATATATTTCTTGTTCAAAAGGAGTGTCGCCTATGATTGCTAGCCTCACATGTAAGTTAGTTTGTTTTGTGCAAATCCGCGTATTAGAAAATGTGAAGTACCATGTGATTATATAATAGAAACAGGTGAATTCGACCACTGTAATAACATTCTAATACCAGCTAAATTATACTCCTTAATCTCGAACAAGTTGTCTCAAAGTAGGACTTTGAAATATTTCACGAAATGTCCAAAACTCAATAATACAATATAAGCTACGATTTTTACTAAATACTAAACGCCATTGATTCTGTCTCTTGGTCGCGAAATTTGATGCGTTTTCTAAGCTGTGACACCGTCGCATTGAAGTCGCGTGACAACCTCGCTTTACGGGAGACGCTTCACTGCTGAAGGACGCTACGGATCGTACACATTGACTCTGCCGCTTTATTTTTATGTTTTTGAATTTCTGTTTTCTTATATGATTTATCGTTTTACAACCCATTGCCATTTTTTATTCGAAGCTTGTTTTGGGCGAAGAAACAAAGCTTTTTGTCTCGTGTTTACTAGACACAGAAAACGCTATTTTTCGTTCTTTTTACTGTTGACAAAATTTAATGTAGCTGAAATTCGAGGTATATCGTACTTGATCAGGTACCCAAAGCATAATACGTAGTCCAACGAATATCAATGGACCAAGTTATCACACAGAAACATTTGCTCATGGCGAGGTTTATCTAATACAAAGTAAATTTAGAATACAAAACAAAACGGTTTGAAAAGCAGACTTTTTTCCAACAAAAAGATTAGTATGAAAATTCTGCGTGTTGCATTTAATGAAATCGCAGTAAATATTACTTGCAAGTAGGGCACGAAAAGTGTGTTTGCCTCAACGCGAACTCAACCCCGTAGGGTTGTGGGAAAATAGTAATTGGTTACTATTTCATTGTCTTTATTTTTCTCAAAAAGGGTTGTTTTGTCAATTTCATAGTTCGTTGAATGAGAAAGGAAGAACTAATCCCCGTTATAATTTATCGTCCATTGGATCAAAATCCAACACAATTTAAACTGTTTGTACCAGTATCGCAAGTTACCAGAATAAATATCTAATTATTACACTTTATAAATGCACAAATAATGATTGCATTCAATATAATTTGCTGTATTTTGTGGATTTTATATTCATAGTTTAGGATTATGTAGTATTCATATTTTGTATATTTTATTAGTAATTGTAGGTTATTACATAAACAAAGGACTGGTAATTGATTCTGTAAACATACTTAGATTCAGTGCTGTGAGACAGTAACTCTTTCAAAACTGTATTATTATATGGAGGGATTATGACGCATGTTCAATTGTTGTCGCCATTTATGTCTTTTAACAATATTTTGTCGAGTAATTAATGCTGCGAGTGCTTACTTCCACCGCGCAATGGGCTGCAGACAATTGGCGCTTACTTGCTAGAGTCCTCGTTCTTTCAGTGTTGGCTAGCAATAAACATACGTTTCCGGGCGAGGTGTTTTTCATAACACACGCAATGTCACACCTCCAATGAACAAAATAATTGAAAAATTAAGTACAAACGGAAAATTAAATATTAATTGTATATTGTGGTTTGTAACGGCTTTTTCCGGCTCTCAAGCGCAAAATTCTTTTTAAAACCAGGCCAATTTGAAATGACGAATAAAGGGGGTATTTGTTGACATTGCGGATATGCGACGTGCTTGTATAACACCTGCAAAGACTTTACGAGCAAGGATCACCTAAATACGGAGAAGATAGACTTGCTTTGTTTTCAGTCAAGCTTGGTGATGAACTGAGTGAAGTCACACGCATATAATCTAAATTTCCAACTGTTCGAAATCTTGTCGAGGGCTAATGCGGCGGTAATCGCAAAATTGGCATCGAAGTAAGCTCTTTGCGTGATGCGGTAGCTTCTTGTGGTATTAAGGTCGGGTATTTTGCAACATTTATATTGACAAGCTACGGCGTCCCTATTTTGTGTAATTATGTTATCTTGGTCCGGATATACGAATCTATGTAATTAGTATACTGGTGATTCATACAAACAGAAATATGCTCGGCTTCTTTGCTAATATATTTAAATTGGGCAATTTGTTCGGGGAAGGAAAGCCCTGTTAATCACAACATCTCAATGGTGTCGGCGGTTGAATTACGATCTATTCACGACCACTATACATGCTTCAAAGTTTGTACAGTGGTTGTAAATATGTCGTGACTACACGTTATTTTAGTTTTATCACAAAATTCTATACATAACTTGAGAAGTATTTAAAATTCCTAACGCGTGTATTCACTAAAAGCTAATTTTAGAAAAAATAAATCTTTCATGTCCAGTAACAGGTTGCCTTATTTTACAAAAATACACGGTGTATTAAACTATGCGTATATATATATGTATATGTATGGGTCGCATTTCAATTTTGCCTATCCAGCTTCTGATATTGAAGCTGCTGTTTTTCGCGTCGGTAATGGGTGGGTGGGCTTTGGTGTGGGTGGGAATTGTCCCATATTATCTGAATTTTTGGCATTGTATTCCGTTTTCAATACACGATATTATACCTAAAATTCAGAACGAAAATAAATTGTATGGAACTATATTTAGAACGGTGAATATAGGTTTATTTTTATATATTTTAAAAATAGTTGAAAAATTTGGTGAAGTATTGCAATCCACCAAATGGCATAACCTTGTATATTTCTCGTCATGCAAAACTAAATCGTCTGGAAAAATACATAATGGTATGGAACTTTTCACCCACGCAAAATACTTAAAAATTTATAAAGTTCAAGAGAGTGATTTTCGCGTGATATTTCGGCCCCGGTGAACCAGTTTACGGCAATGACGTATTGCGAATGAACCGAATATTTTCAAAACTAAAATCATTTAGAGCTCAAATGTCCAAATTTTACATATATGGTCTGTAGACCAGTCCAAATTATGAATATCCAATGGCTTTGTATGTAAGCTTATTAGATATTGGAAAAGTTCATTCCTATCATATCATTGCCAATCTGCAAAATATCTTCGCAAGAAAAATAAACGACATTTCTTTATTTCGTATGAACAAAACTTCAATTACCAGCTATTCGGTTTGAGTTTATCATATATAAGTATATCGTGAGATCTCATTCGAGGCTTGGTCGGATGTCATAAATGATGGAAATCTGACAGCGAATAGAAATTTTATGCCCATCGGGTTCACGATTAGATCGATATCTACATTAATTGAGTACAAGCTTGAAGTCAACGATTCTACGAATACAATTAAGAACGTACTGAAATTACTGAAGTATAATGGTAATTAATTTTAGCCACTTATTTCATGCTAATTCACGGGTGTTGAATACCAAATTATTCTATTCGCATTTTATTGCATGTATATATAGGTTTTATTTTGCGAGCTAATCGATGGAACAATTTACATATCGCGATACAAAATTATAAACGGACTGTCAAAAATCTCTGATGGGTGCCAGTAGGCATTCGTTATTCCAAAATCAGAAAATCAAAAAATTACCATGACGAATCGTGGTATTTTATCTGAGCATTACGTAAAGTCTCGATTTTTTTTGTCACGAATAAGAAATGAAGTTTTTGGTTAAAAAGTTCAAGGCTCGCCCTCATTTAAATAGGATTTTTCAATTTTTGACACAATAAGGGGTAATATTATATTTGAAATAAATTCCAAATTATTATGAGGAATTTACCGCTTGAATAATTTTCAATAAAAATCTACTTGATAACAAAATCGGTCACATGTTGAGAATCTATCGAATAAATATTGGTGGAAATCAAACACACATCTTACAATATCGCCGACGATTGCCGAAATTCGAACAATAGAAATCAACCACAAAACGGAAGATGTACTCCTAATGCGGCCTCTAGAAAAATGTTCTTCGAAACCATTCCCAGTCAAACATGAACAATATGAGAATCGTGTATTGGCGGATTATTCCGACCATAGTCAGGCTTGATTACAAATAGCTTTGATTGACACATAAAGATTAAAACCAGTATTGAAAATCGAAATTGAATTATTTTAAAAGCTAATAAAATTTAAAGAGATATTTCAACACTTTGGCAGTAAAATACAGGAAAATAAATTTACCTTTCAATTGACATTTGGACTTTTTAGACAATTTTTATGTAACTTACATTTCTGGGACTTTTAGAACACAAAGAGGACAAACGTGGTTGTTTTTGTTCGCAGTTTGTTATTTATAGTTTACAATTAAAGCCGATCGCTTGATAAACCATATGTGGTGCTAAAATGCTTTGCAATTACGAATACCAATATAGATACAAATCTGTTTTATCTGTACAAAAGATAAGAGATAACGAAGGACGTGCCTGAATCGACGACCGACCAACGTCACGCGAACACGATGATAAAATCTTAATAGGTTTACTTCACCTCTGGCAAAGCTGGTATCGCCTTGCTTCAAATTGTTTAATAAATTATTTAATTACTATAAATATAATTATCATGTAGCACCTAAAATTACCACAATTAAGGCGTCAAAAGATCGTAGGGTCAGAATAGAGTAGCTATTAAAATATCGCTCTGAGCTAATCTTGCGCTGATGTATGATTAATGGCAACATATTGGCGCGATCTTGCTCTGGGGTTGCGCTGTTCTATCTTAATTAATATTAGTTTTATATTATTTTCCGCAACCTAATATATTTGTTTAATATCACACAGTCGATAGTTGCCACCTTTAGTCTGTTTCCAACAATGAATATTTTATAAATTTTAATTTGAGCTACAAATATCACTGTTAGGAATACCAGGCAAATGAATAATTTTTTGTATCTTCATAATACGGTCTCCGATGAATCAATAAATCGACCCAGTAGGAGAGATAGAATATAGGTATGCGTGAATAAAGACATCTGTTAGATAATGACACGCCACTAAGTTGGGACTTTAATTAAGCAAAACCTAATTAATGAGTTTAGCCACTTTAAGACGCATACGAAACCTAGGTGGAATCAAATTAATCAGACGGCGCGATTGTTTTAAATGTCTCAAGCCTTCTGTTATTCCTATCAATTAAACACAACAAGCAACTTTCCATATCCGATGATCAAATAAATTTTAAAATATACTGACCTTTAGAAGTTGGTTTTTCTTCTTGAACTTTGTTGTCTTCATCGTGTTCTGGGCACTCTATTTGAGCGTCTTCTTTGCTATCTGGTGTGGCCAAGTTTTCTGTATCAGCTTTGTCAAGGCATTCTTTGGATTTAACTACATTGTCGCAATTTGCTGACGATTGTTCAGTAATTATTTCCGTTTTCGTATTGTCATTACATTTCTCTGTTTCGGTATCCACATTCTTAGAAACAATTTCTTGTTTGTCAGAAGACTGATTGTTCTTTTTAGTCGATTTTCGTTTCAAGTTTGTTTTGCGGAATGATTCTATTATATTCAATGCCGGTTTTGAAAATCCTCCCAAAATCGACTTGTTTTTCTTGGGTTTGCTTGAAGAATTTTCAGCAGGTTTGTTCAATTTAACGTTGTTTAGTGGTATTCGTCCGTATGTTAAACGATTTAGTTCGGGGAAATAGTAATCGCCACCGCTTGAAGTTTCGCTGCTCGTGCTGCAGCCCATTGAGCTTGTCATACTGTCACCGCTAGTTGTCGTGCTCGAGTCGGTCGCCGTTGTGGCAACACCACTGTAAGAACGACCGCCGAGGCCGGCGTTGTACGAATGGTTTCTGCGGGGAATAGGTCCTGAAAGTTCGATAAGAACCGACTTTTCATCATCGGCGTCTTGTGCATTTTCGTCGTCAGAGGTGTTCGTCGTCGTTGTGGTTGTTGTTGACGTATCATCCGTGCTGTAACGATACAACCCGGATTTTTGGGACTTCGATCTCGATCCTCGATGGCGCGAGGATCTTCGTCTATAGTGGTGGGAAGAATAAGGATAATGTGGGACTTGTCGTCTTCTGTGTTGTCTGGATCCAACAACACCATCAACAGAACTCATACGTCTGTGATTTCGCCTTCTATATTTACAAAATTCACGGTTAAATGTGCCCTGGCTTATTAATTGAGCTCTGTCAGATCTTCTGACGAGACAGTCTGGGTCTGCTAAAAATCCATCAACGAATTTTTCTTCACTGAGAATAAGTCCGTTTCGTTTTTCCGAAGTTTTTATTTCACCTTTAGTAATTTTGTTGTTATTGTCGAAATCTTCGAATAATATCGTTTTGTTTTCTTCTTGGTTTGGAAGTTCGTCAGAATCTACAATATCGTCCATGTTTTGTTTCATCATGACAGCACGTTGATATTGCTTCATGTTGCGTCTTATTCTACGTTTCTGGTGATGTGACATGTAGTGCAATGAGTGGTGGTCATTTGCTGGTGATTCCTCATTGTCGGCAGACTTTCCGTTCTTTTCACGGCTTGGAAGATGACCACCATCTCTGTATCTAATATGCTTGCTTTTCTTAAGAGATAGTTCAACGTGTTTTTGTTCCTTACCCCAAGCTTGCCATACGTTTAAAATCCTAGTTCTTGGCGGGATTGGTTTCTCGCATCCCCTCCAATTTTCAACAATGACGTAGGATTGTGCCAATTCTTTGATCGGCTTTGCATTTGAAGAATTTGAGCTCGACTCGGCATTAGCCTGATCCCCGGCCGAGGTCTTTTCAGCAGTACCGTTTGCACTATCGGTGCCGGGGTTTGGTTGCGTTTCTTTTAAAAGTGCCAAGACGACATCCCAGCATGTTGTGCTTTTTGTTAGTCCAGATATTTCCTTTACTTCCCTTCCAACTCTGACTGCTATAGTAGCCATATTGTAAATGTATTCCTTTTCGACGTATAGAGATAGATATATAAATATAGAGTGTTCACAAAAACTCTTCGTTCAGAATTAATCTCATCAGGATCATTAGTACCAATAAACGTATAGTCGGTACAAAGTATATCTGTAAATAAATGAAATGATTATAAAACGCAAAACTTTATAGACGATGATATTGTCGCCAACTGTCGCATTTTGCAACAATACCGTCGTTATCTGCACGATAATTATCGTTAGATATCGCCGGAATGTCAACAAAAGATTGGTAATGAGTTTATTTAATACTAGTGGCATCTGCTACATTAATCATATTTCGCTCACAATGCTGCCCAATTACATTTTCGCGCCTAGATTTTTTTTCAGAGAAAATAAAATAAAACCACTGCTTACGATAACAAACCGAAATATAATATAAATAACATTATTAACTAAGGTTTCTCACTCAAAAATAAACTGAACTTGTCCTACACTTCGAATTTTGTTTGAGAACCCGCAAGCACTGCTAACTGTACACAGGCTAGTTGAGAGTGAACGGCGATGTCTATCAATCTATTAGGTAACAGCACGGCGGTGATAATATTACATCGACTATCTCGCCTTTTTCTTGCTTCTGCGAAATCTTTTTTCTCGCTTCTCGCAATCGCACGTCGATAGACGCTTTTGCTCAAGCCGAGGTCTATCCGCCAAATAAGCCCTCGTTTCCCTCGCAAAATACCGTATATTTTCACGACAGAGGTAATTCAAAATTTACGCCTTGATATCAAACTTCATGACTTTAATTTGACTGTAGCAGAATATAGTTCACAAAATGACAGGGTCAAAGTTTACTAATTCAATTAAATGATATGAAGAATTCTGATTTTTTGACTTAGCAATTGAGATCAGGATACGCGAATATGTTATTCAAATTACTGAAATATTATCGACTTGGGCACTCAGTATGGGTGCTCCGATCAATTATATAAAAGGGTTCAGTTCAGGTGTGGAACAATAAAAATACAAAGTCACTACCAATGCCAAATCTTTTCCAAATAGTTCTGCATGATCTACCGACATTGCATGTCGACTTGAATTTCAAGTCAAGACGAATCAATTTGTTCTGCTTATGAATTTGTACTTGTCGTACAAGCTCACATAATCCGCGCTGTAATTTTATCGCCGTGGTTATCGCAAGCCGGTGGTGACTAAATTGAACACAAAACTTGGCGAAAAACCAATCAACGAAACACTAATACAGTTTATTTTGAATGACAAACTGAGGTAGAAATTATATATTGCTAGAGGGACATCTTTTCATAAATTTGAATTGGTATAGCCGACTAGTCATTAAATTATCGCATACATGCTTATCTGGCTATAATATTAAATTTGAAATATTCCAAATTCAAATATTTAATCATTCGAAAATGGACGATATCTTACACATGTTATAATGATATATACAATTATATTATTTTTTTGTAAAAGCAATTTAACGGAAGCTGAATGGCCGCTGATATTTTTAACAAAGTAATTCCAAACATAGAATTACTCCTCCGTGCGTGACGTTGTCAGCGATGCAATTCCGCAGGTACAACGCGATTTTGTTCGTATTAATCTTCATAATCCTTTATTAAATAATTAGTAAATTACCTCTGTAAGATTTGCACCTGATTTGCAGCATTGAGCAATATTTCCAGCGGAGATGTCATGCTGTGCTTAAATACCCATATGAAGTGCACAAAAAGAATTCGATTATTTCGGATCAGATACGCCCGAATTCTAATCTATCATTTACACTGGTTAATCAATTTTCCACGTTTGGCATTTTTGTTGCCCAGAAGTCTTGTAGATTCTGATTCTTTCAAGGGAACTTTGAAAAATATACGCACGCACGAGAAATAATCGACTGTCGAATAAAAGTGTAATGCAGCTAAGACTCTTCGACTTACAGACTCATTTAAATTGAAAAATTGCTATGTTACTGTTCATGGAATGGCCAATTTTTGACGACCCTTTAATCTATTTGAGCCAGAATGTACCTTTATGAGAAGAGAATCTTGGTTGCCAGCTCCTGGGTGAGAGCCAATACTTAAATTAATAAGCTAAATAAGTTAAAAATAAACGGCTGGTTATTTATAGAAAATTGTGTTTGTATAAATTAAATGTTTTCAAATACCTCAATCTAGTGTACTTGGACAGAAATACCATGCAGTATATAAATTAGCAGAACGTTACTGATCTACTTCTATCGGCCTATTTCAACTTCAGTTTCATTACTTTTGTTTTAATTTCGAAAAGATGATATTCCGCAAATAATAAAATACCTCCACCACTGATTACTTTAAAAATACTGTATATTACAACATTTATAATGCAATAATACATCATTTATAATTGGTTTAGTAACATCGAGCCCCGCAAGTTTTGAGGCTGCAATATTCCGACAAAAAAGTCTTTTCTTTTAAGTCTAAGAACCGTTCATTATCTTGTCACGAACCTTGTGGTTAACTCCTAGCGTTCTGCAAATTATTTATTTTTCTATTTTCAAATATTCCTTCAGCTTAACTTTTCACCGTCTGCGGTAAGACGCATGGTTCAATTTGGGGTCTTCAAATCCCGTCAATCCTCCAGTCATCCCCAGCATACAGCCGTCTTTCCACGTTTTGCTAAACGCCAATTATCCCGAACGGTGACGTCAATTCGCGGTTGCCTGCCATGTTTCTGTTACGCCACTCTTTCACCGCGCGGACTTCAACAGAATAAGCTGGACTGGTACTCACCACCAATTACGACCCCATTAACTTTTATGGCGCAAAACCATGACGACTATACTTCTTCAATGTCGACATAAAAATCGGTAAAATACTCTACTTTTGTGTAAAATGCCCTTATATACGCACACGTCCGTGCATATCAAATATATGAATCAATTGTGTATTATGCTTGGTCAGGCGAATCACACGAATATTTTTTACTGTACAACCACAATTGAATACTGCCGAAAATAATAATTTTACTCATACCTTTTCAGCATACACATAACTGTTGTTCCTTTTCAGAGTCAATTACTGACGTTAATTGGATTTCGTACACGCGAATATCTTGGAAAAGAAAAACTTTCGTCTGGATATTTTCATAAATATGACCACAAAACGTCAATTCAACCTTAATTTGTGGAATGAAGTACGAACTGATCAAAGTTACCGTGCCGCGTATATCAGTAACTCTTTAAATACAATTAATAAATCTCAAAAATCTCAAATCAATGTGGTAAATAAAATAATAAACAAATAAGCAAACAATAAACAAACAAACGTACCTTTGTAAACAAACTTAATTTTTATTTTATTTGTTGTTTTGTATTAAGTTTGTTACAAATAATTACATCGCGCGAATCTTGTTTGTCGAAGTTACAGCGAAAAATAAATATACTTGAACAATCAAACACAGCTTGGTACAGTAATACATTCTACCTATTCTAAATAGAGTAATTAAACGAAAACAGACTTTCGCCTTCTTATAACTACAAAGGTCTAATGTGTTGATTTGTATGAACCTGACTTGTATGACTTGAATTAATGAAAATATAAATCTCAATAAACTTATTTGTATGACAAAAAAACTCGAGTTAAAAACACTATATGCCGTTGTACGAACTACACCCGACTACGCGGCAATTGTCACGTTAGAAAACACTCTGTTGTATTTCAACAATCCCTTTTACAGGAGTACCTAGTACAGCACACTAATCAATTCAAAGTCACATATTGATTTTTAATATACTCTCTCGATTGGTCAGTTAAGCGATATAGTTCGTTTTCCAGCATAAGACATCGAAGGAACACGCCTACTCGGGATATATATATATTACCAATATTTTTGATTAGTTCTGACCAAATAAATCACTTTCTAAGTATGATCGAACCACCCGAACATTATTATTTCTCCTCGACCGGGATTTCAAGGTGAATTGCTAATGACACTAGAGAGTTGTGACAGATGGTCAAAATCAAGTGTCATCATTTGCCTGTTCACATTTCGCTCGCTTTCTTTGTGAAGTGTAGGTAGACAGGTAGAGAAGATCAAAGCTTTGGTAAAAGATCAATATGGATTTGTGATAATGTAAATCAATTGTTGAAATTTTGAAACCTTTTTTTTTGTCAAACTCAAGTAGATTTGAGTAAAGCAAGATAGAGCAATTTTTTGTCTTCTTCGAAACAAATATGTTTCACTTAATTTTAAGCCGATTTTCTAATTGTGCAAAAGATTCGAGAATACTTCTGACCGCAAACCGTGTAATTATTTAATTGTTCAAATTAAAATAAGAATTGAAGATTCAAGGCAGAATTTTAACGAAAATATTGATAAGCATGAACAATATAAAACTGCACAAGCATTCATGTTTTGTTAATAAAGCCTTATATTTCGGCTATTAACTGTATATCGACCCGAAAACATGAAGTGTAAAATAAATGAACAAAATCAATCTGAAAACAGAAACTACTTCATCTTTCGCTTTTTTGTTTTCATTTTACTGCATTGCACTTGTACAAGACCAATACCATATAGCGATTCTGTAAATACTCTTTAGAAAATTATTACGTCAATCATTTCTATTTCTATAGAAATAATGGTCAATCCACCCAGCAGTGATGCAAATCTTAGAATAAATAACTAAGCCATGCTTTTGCATCTTATGAATCTTTTGCACATAATTACTTAAGTTTCATTCGTTGGTTCAATTCATATACTCACTAAGGTCAAGAAGTGCAAATTACTTCATATGAGAAAAATGCTCATTTACGAGATTGGACCATGTTTGTTTGATCATATGTGTATTGGTTATTATATCAGCGAGAGTTATTTGGCATTGCGATATTTTAAAAAGTAAATTTTGCGTGTCATGCCCCGGATTTTTAGAACAATGACATCCATTCACATTGTATATTGACTTATATTAATATCACAGGAAGGAGGGAGAAGGCAATTAACGTCCTTTGTTAGGAACACCCGAACGATGTTGAATACATATCAAGAAAACGCCGCAAATGAAAAACAAAAGCATTGCTATTTGCAAGGACGCCAGTAATGAACTTTGGAAAGGAGTTAATATTGGTATTGTCGAAGAACATTACATTACGG